CCCAGTTCTTGAGAGCCTCGCAGCTTATTTCCATGTCAGTCCACTGCCGTGGCAGTGTTGAGACGTGATGTGATCACACCATCTTCTAAGTTCCTTATTGGCTCCCGACATCCATCTTCTTTCCTCCTCTGCCTCGCATTCTGTGTGCTCCTCAGCTCACACCTGCAGCCACCATGCTCAGCAAGCCTCTGTGCCAGCCCGCCCCACCCCAGGTATTCCTCCTGCCCTGTGCAGTGACTGCCACTTCTGTGTCCCCATGTCTCTAACCCTGCTCTCTCCTGCTTCATAAACATAAAAAGTAAGTTCTTGTGTCTGTTGTTCATTTTTAGTAAATTCTACAAATAAATAGGTTTTTACTGTAATTTAAATACATCTCCATTGCCAGATTTTGTCATATAACATGATCTTGTCCATCTTTTACTCTACAGGCCAGTACAGATGACGGCTTTGTGTATAATCTGGATGCACGTTCAGATAAGCCAATTTTTACACTTAATGCACACAACGATGAAATCTCTGGTGAGCAAGAATGATGTTTCTTTCAAATGCATCGTTATGACAAAATAAATCTAAATTTCAGGCAGTAGCTCTTGAACTAATCTTACCTTCCAGGTCTTGATCTGAGCAGTCAGATCAAGGGCTGCCTCGTGACTGCTTCAGCAGACAAATATGTGAAGATCTGGGACATCCTAGGAGACAGGCCAAGTCTCATTCATTCTAGAGACATGAAAATGGTGAGCATCTCCCTGACTCTTTCATTGTGTTTCTGATGTGTTTGCTTGTCTTTTCCTGGCAGTCACCGCAGTCAAGGATATGTTGAAGTTAATTTTGAGCTAGTCAAGTTTGGTGGGAGTTTCTAACTTAGAGAATTTTAAAGAATTCAGTTACTATCTAACTCCTTTCTGGTTCACAAGCTTAATAGTCTTGACAGGATCAGAAGAATGGGAAAAGGACATAGAGAAGTGGCCATGGCTTATCTTTCTCAGGAAATCTTGGAACTTGGAGCACTTGAGCTATTGATGACTATTTACTAAACATTTAGAATAAGCGTTCTTTAACAGATGGGGAGTACTTAGTGTGGGGGGCACTGGGTTCCATGTGTAACATTGGCAGTACAGTAGAGTATCACGGCAATTCAAAACCATGTGTATATTCACTTAGCTCTCTGGAAGGAAATCATTGACTTTCAGTTCTTCTCTCCCCAGGGAGTTCTCTTTTGTTCTTCATGTTGTCCTGATTTGCCATTTGTTTATGCCTTCGGAGGTCAGAAAGAAGGGCTTCGAGTTTGGGACATAAGCACTGTCTCTTCAGGTGAGAACCTTCAAGCTCCTGCTCTTTCTGGGCAGGAATTTAATGTGCTATGTGGATGGCAAAGGCATGTCCAGTGTGCATCCTGTAGTGCTGACTTCAGAAATGGTAAGTTTGTTTCATACTTTAAGTGGGAAAGCTGGAAGGAAATGTAGCAGTCTCTAGGAAGACTTCCCCTTCCCCGGTGCCAGGGTGCTCGAATGTGTTCATTTCCCAGCTGCTCACAAGATAAGGCCTCCCTCCCCTCAGAAGAGTAGTGAACGACTTACTGTCTTAGGATTGCCTACTGTGTTTTACAGACAGAATGTCCTCACTAGATTCTCCCTCCCGTGGTAAGGATTCTAAGATCTGTCTGGGTTGCTGATTTGAATTTATATGTGATGTATGTATAGATTATATGTGCAGTCAGTACAGAGGAAAAAAGTCTGTAGCAAAGCCCTGTTCCAAGGCAGAGTTAGAAATCTCTAGAACAAGCCCGAGAAGTATAAAACGACAATTAAGAAGAATAACTCATTTGGTACATTAATTGGTCAGGTTTCCAAGCTGGTTACTTTCTCACATAGTATTAACTGTTTTCTAAGTTTTCACCTCACAGCAGAACCTTACTATTATGCTCTAGTCTTACGTCCTTATCTCATGGTTCCTTTTAGTGAACGAAGCATTTGGAAGACGGGAGAGACTGGTTATTGGCAGCTCAAAAGGCTTGTCTGTTGGTGGTCCTTGCGGGAGTGGGAGCCCACAGACACCAATGGAGTCCTGACAGAGATCACAGTCTCCTGGGATGCTTACATGAACTCGGGGTTTCGAAAAGCTGGCCTAAAAATGTCCTGTGTGTACCTGCAGCCACAATGATGGAAACAATTCAGTTCCTGTTGCCATTCCTCTGCAGCTTTGGTGGCAGTCCACAGCCTTTGTGTCTGCCTTCAACTGGGTGTTGTACAGGTCTTGCATTTCTTGAAAATAAAAGTTTTTTAAAAAATGACTCCTTAAACGTTCCATCTGACCTAGAACTGTAGGTTTATAAAATGTGAGTGACTGAAGAGGTTTGGAGACTGGGTATGGCTGTGTTAGCCAGGCTGGTGTGGTGGCTCATGCTTGTCCTCCCCTTGTGGGGAGCAGAGAGGAGGGAAGACTCCTAGGGCTCCATGGCCAGCCAGCTGGTCTGCTCAGGGATCCACTTGTCTCCATCTTCCCAGGCTGGATTACCAATATGCATGGTAGGTTCCAGAACTGAATTCAGGCCCCTGTGCTTGTAAAGCAAGTGTTTTACTAACTGAGCAGTTTTCCCTAGCACATTGTTTTTAAAATGTGATTGCTAAAGGTACTTTCACCTTCTGCATATTAATCACATTTTTTACAACACTGTTAAAATGCTTTTGGTTATGAACTTTTATTTTTTCAGGAATGTTTTCTTTGTCCCAATATTTAAAAACTTTTGTGGGAGTCAGTTCATATGAATTTTCTATGATCAAGATATTTTACTAAATGGACAACAAACTGTCAGAGTTTGGTTCTGGTTCCAGAGTTCTGGTTCCAGTAAATTCTCCCTCTAGTTACTTCATAACCTCTATGCCTCTTTTCAAATGAACTTGAACTTATGCTCATAAAGCACCTTGGACTTAAAGGTATAAATTTAAGAATTGTACACTGTTCCATTTATCTCAACCTCATAGGACAACTTTCCACTTATTCAGTGAACGTCCATTCTCCTTTCAAACTTCACCAATTGCTAAACTGATTTCTAAGTTTTATGATGTTAATACTTAAAAGTGAATAGGACATCCTCTTATTTTGAAGCAATACAGTAAACATTCTATTTGTCATTAAGATTCACCTCACTCGTGCTTCATTCAGGATTTTCAGAATGCGACATTGCTCAATCTCATGAGAATTTGTGTGATCATTATAAACTTCCAAACTGAGAATAGAACCACCAAGTCAGACGTGTTTCCTACACAACGACTGCCGTGTGGCAGACGATGGGGAAAGCACAAGGATGCAGAACTAGGTCTGACCGAGTCCAATGCTGCGTCTTAAAAACCACCTTCACTCCTGTCAGGCTTTGGTAAGAGCCTACAAGCTGTTACTGTGAAGATAAAATTAACATGTAGTAGAACGTAACATACTTTCCCTTCTTAGTACTTGCTTTGGCTTTGAGCTTGAAATTAAATTTCCTGGCTCAAGATGCTGTCCTGTTTTTCACACGACTTGATTTTCAGACCCGATCTGTTCATTGTCAAAGTCCAGTTGTCTTTACTGAGCCAGACTTACCATGCACTTTACTCCTTATCTCTTCTCGGATAGGACCTTTTCACTCCTGCCCCTGGACTTGAAACAACATGCCTGCAGTAGCATGCAGCAAAATAGTATGCAGTCAATGACTATTGTCCCATTGACTATAAAGGGGTTATAAAATCTCCGATGGGCAAGTTACAGTGTAGATAGCCTAACATTCTAGCAAAAGCATTGCTCAGTTTAGTGGGATGCTGGTATAAACTCACTACCCTTGATGTAAAAGTGCAGCATGTACAATAATAGTGTGTAAGACTTGGTAACTTACTACTGTAAACCATCCAGCCAAGCTACACCACAGCCTCCCACCTCAAGTGTTTATTTTTCACTACACTGGGGCCACATGAATGATAGTCTATGCCATCTGGGTTTGTGTAAATATACCCTGTGCTGCTGCAATCAACTGCCTAGTTACATGCTAAACAGACCTTTTCTTAATCTATTAAAATATGATCATAATGCAGGGCTCCTATATAACTGTAACCTGCTTCAGAATCACCTGGGGAGCTTAATAGGCTAGCTGGACTCCTGGGGCTTCATAGTCCTTAGGCAATCTGAATGTGAAGCCAGATCTTGGAGGTCCTGGAAGATATTGTGTATGAATAGGCCATAACTGTTTGCTAATTAATTTGTTCTCATTTTTCCTACAATGAATGCCAAACTACTGGCTCTTTACATGGTTTCTTCTTTGTTCTGTGTTTTGGGTGTTTTGTTGTTTTGTGTTTCATATTTTGATTTAAAACAGGGTCTTGTAGTCCAGGCTGCCTTGAGCTTGTAGCAATCCTCCTGTCTTAGCCTCCTAAATGCTAAAATTTCTAGCTTGTGCCACCACGATGCCTTACATTGTGGTGGTGGTGGTGGGGACGCCTGTCCCTGTCTGAGGTCTATGGCCTAAGACCCTTCAAGTATACATACATATGAAAGAAAAACTAAGGAACAACAAATATATCATAGAGGTGCCATCCCACCCACTTAGGTAGTAACTTCCCTGCTGGCAATAGAAGCCACCACATTGGAAGAAGCCTTTCACATTGCTCACAACTGATGGCTATTCTGGAAGGTACTCTTCCACACTCCTTGGATATATGGTTAAGACAGTTGGCAGAACATTGGCTAAGTGAAGGAACTCTCTTCTTGCCTTATAGGCATCCATAATGCTCCTCCTGTATAAGTCCTTGCCAAAACTTAGCTATTCTTAAAAGGACACCAGTCGGCCGGGCGGTGGTGGCGCACGCCTTTAATCCCAGCACTCGGGAGGCAGAGTCAGGCGGATCTCTGTGAGTTCGAGGCCAGCCTGGGCTACCAAGTGAGTTCCAGGAAAGGCGCAAAGCTACACAGAGAAACCCTGTCTCGAAAAACCAAAAAAAAAAAAAAAAAAAAAAAAAAAAAAAGGACACCAGTCACTGCATTGAGGCCCAACTGGAGAACCTCATTTTAACTTCAACTAAATGTCCAAATATTACATTCTGAAATACTGGAGGTTAAGAGTTTAACACAAATAGGGAAGACAGTTATATCCATATAGACACTGGCTGTATGTGTACAGAGAGGTCTTCCTTCAGGAGGCAGGTTGATGGGATAATGTAAGATGGTGTAATTGATGGACTACAAGCAGCTGGCCTACCTATATTTCTCAGTAAATAAGAAGAACCAGTAAAAGAACACTTACTGCATATTTTGTACACAGGTCACCAGTCTAAAAATAAGACCCAGACTATGACATCATGCTGTCTTTAATGTCACTCTGAACCTTAGCTCAGCACACAGAAAAGAGCAACTCACTTCTTAAGGAACCACCAACCATAATCAAGGCATTATGGATGTTTCTAGGCTTCAGCCAAGAAAAATTATTCCTGTCTAATTTCCAAAGCTTAGGACTTCCTGGGTTGTGTATCCAATTTAACTCAGGATCTGTACAAACATGAAAAAAAAAATGCAGGCATGTATAAAACAATTAAGCACTCACTAGGTTGTGTAATTTGGCTAAGGTTACAAACTATCATCCCACAGTAAATCCCAGAGAACTTTCAGCTGGATACAGAGCCCACATTTACCATCTCCGGCCTGTCGGTGTGGCCAATGACCCAGCAGCAATAGACAAGACCTCCTGCAGCTAGGCAGCGAAGTGTAAATCCTGTCACAGGGCAGTGCCACTTACACCCACGAGGTTAAAGGCAGAAGCAACACTGAACACTGCTACATCCTCCAAGGACTTTCTGCCCTTCCTCATGCTTTGAGTTTTTGGTATGTAGCTTCACTGGTTTGAGGAGCATCTCTGTGCAGGACAATAAAGGAATTTAGTCAAGTGGATGCTCCTGAAAAAAGGGAGAAATTACTTTGAGCATTAATAGTGATGAGTGAGGCTTTGTGCCTTGGTGTTAGGAGTCACCCTAGCTACTCACAGCACCCGACTTCAGCTGTAAACCTGTTAGTTTCCAAGGAGGCAATAAAGGCCCTCCCTGCCATGGGAAGACAGCAGCAGGAGAGGCTACAAATCCCAGAGGGTAGTCTGTCTAAGCACCATTACACAGGAACAATTAGGGTATGACCTCAGAGCAAAAGCTGTCTTCTCTCTTAAACTTTGAGTCCTTCCTCCACAAAAGATTATGAGAAATTCCACATTTTCATTAAAAATTTTTGATTTTAATTCTTCCTAAAGGAATACAGATTTGAATGAAATACATTCATCCCATAAATACATTAGCAGCAAAACCTTCCCAGCAGAGTCCTTCCTCTACTCAAGCCAGGGTTGGACCCTTGAGCAGGAAGGCATGTTCCACCAATCTGTCAACTTCAGGATGTTTCTGCTTCTTCCAAAAGCTGGCTAAGCCTGCTCACAGGGACCTGAAAACAGACCCATACGGTGACTGATAGCCTTCTCTACCTTTCAGATCCTTTGGTATCCTCTACACTTAGCTGGCGAGGACCTTTAACAAGGAAGACAACTGGGAAGGCCTGCCTGTGAAACCCACCAATGCATTTGGAACTACTTGCTGCTTTCAGCTAGCAACATCTTAACGGTTTTCATAAAGTAAACCTACATAAGATCATTCCCCTCCTTCCTGCTGTAGGCTGAAGTACCAGTCTTGTCAAGTGAGTCCATGTGCACTTACTGACAGGAGACGACCCAGCAGGCATTAGTTGGACACTGTTAATTCCAGGTCCTCACTGAATGACGGAAGGCTAGACCGCAAAGATGTGCATGTACACATAACCAGGTGGCTAACCTTGGGTTCCATCGAAGGTGGTTTTGTGGGCCTTTTCCTCTCCCAGTCACTGTCCTCTGACCATGAATGCTTCTTTACCTGCCCTCTCAACCTGCTGAGATGGGGAAACAGGATCTAAACTCTCAAGGGGCCAGAAGTTAGGCAGGTGTTACTTTTCTTTTCTTTTCTTTTTTAATATAATGAATTACAGTCACCTAAACACTTGCACTGCTGTGCTGCAATTCTCTCTGTGAAATGCACACCTTACAATAGTGCATTAGTATGTGGTCAACAGTGGGGATGGCTGGGGTCAGTCATGTTGGCTGGAGGAAAAAACCACGTGAGATAACTCTGATTTGTATGAACAAAAGGCCACACTGACTCAGGCATAACTGCATCTCCCAGATAACTATGTAATAAAGAACAGACAGCAACAGCTGGGCCTTTCCTTGCCACCCGTTACTTAAGAGGACAGACACATGCCTTTTCTCCAGGCCATCTTAAAGACTCCATCTGGATCCTTCTGTCCGTGCTTTAGCTGGTCCCACTCTGCAGTGAGTTGGTTTTGTGTTTTCCTAATGCATGGTCCATCCAGAGCAGTTTTCCTTTTACTTATGTGTGGAGAGAGACTCGTCTGCTGAGTAAATAGCACTGCTCATCCTACACTCATCTGTCCTCATGGAGTCTGGGAGATCATCTTCTTCAGAGTCATCCTCCTCGTCCTCCTCTTGTGCTGAGGAACTGGAGGTGGGCCCTTTGCAGGTCTTCAGGTGGCGAGTGAGATGGTACTTGGTCAGATAAGCCTTTGTACATTTCTCACAGACATAATCTCGTTTTCCTTCGTGAGAATTAAGATGCTTCTTCAAGTGGTTTGTTCTCAAGAACAGTTTATCACACTTCGGACACTTGATCTGGCGTTCTCTAAGAGGAACACAAGAACATCTGCTTTGGGGGTGTAAATGACAAGCCACACACACTCCCTAATCTAGGCCTTTGTAGGAGCTTTTAGAACTGGCCACTTTCCCCTTCCTGGAGCACTATGCAAACAGGACCATCCAGTATAGATGTAATTTCTTTCACTGAAATTCACTCAAGTTGCACATGTACCTATAGTTTGTTCCTTTCCATCAATATGAAGTACTTACAGTCTGCAATTGGCTTTTCTTTTCTCAGTGGATATTCTGGTGGCTTTCAGTTTTATATTTTCACTAGCACAACTCCATGAATATTTCTCTATTTGTATGTTTTTCTTATATATACTGAGGGGATACTTGGATCAAAAGATGCACCCATCTTCAAGGTCAAAGGAGACAACAGTTCTGCTGTTTCCTGCACACTAACCAAGCACTCTACACAAAACAGATGATATCAAAAATACTGTGTCAGCTGGGCGGTGGTGATGCATGCCTTTAATCCCAGCACTCGGGAGGCAAAGCCAGGTGGATCTCCGTGAGTTTGAGGCCAGCCTGGTCTACAGAGTGAGTTCCAGGAAAGGTGCAAAGCTACAGAGAAACCCTGTCTCGGGAAAAAAAAAAAACCTGTCACCTATGGGGACCAAACTTGAAACTAACCAATAGAACTAGCTGCAGAAACTACAGAGACATGTGCCCTGATAAAGAGAGCTATAGGGAAACATGACAGTGACCACAAATTATGGAAAAAGCTGTTACTTTATAGAACTGTTAGGGCTGGGGATGTAGTTCAGTGGTAGAGTACTTGCGTAGCATGTGGAGGACCACAGTTTTGATTCATAGCACACACACACACACTCCCACCCCGAAAACAGTAAGTATAAGCCTATGTTTAAACCTTTGCGAGGACAGATGTTAGAATGAAGACAGACGCTCAACTGGAACAAAACTGATACAAGAGTACATTGATTGTGTGGTATTCAGAAAGAAAAAACAACCCTCTCTGCCAGAGACATTCTGAAAATGAGTATATCCCATGGCTAGCTCATTCTGCAGAGTGCCCACCTTCCAGCTTGATCATGGCTACGTTCTCCCACTAGGAGGATGCTGTTTACAGTGTTGTTGTGAGCATCTGCACTGATTAGAGAGGCTTCCATGACTCCTGAGATCTTCTAAGCTCTCACACCATACAACTTCTATTTGATAATCAAGGTCACATCAGTAATGAAACTAATGAAGACTTTGTTGTGAAAGATCCTTTATAGAGCCAGCAAGATGGCTCAGCAAGTAAGGCATCTGCCTGAAGCCTGACAACTTGAGTTAAATCTCCAAGACCCACATGAAGGAAGGGGAGAATCCACAAGTTGTCCTCTGACCTCTCCATGAATGCCATGGCATGCATGTATCACACACAAGCAAATACAAATAAGTAAGTTTTTAAGATTCTTTGTAGCGGTATAACAGATATAGTGTCTCCCTGTGACCCCAGGTAATCAGGAGGCTGAGATCAACCTAGGCTAAGCAAGACTGTCTCATATAGATGGATGGATGGATGGATGGATGGATGGATGGATGGATGGATGGTAGACAGACAGACAAAATTAAATTAAAAAGTCCCTTTGAGAACCACAGTGTAGACCCTGACTCTCAGCTGTTGCATGATTCTGGTTATACTGTGATTAGAAAGCAGACAAAAGAGCTAAAACCAAAGAGATTCTTTAGAATATAAAGTTTACAGTGAATTCTCCCTCTTCTGACACTTGCTCAAAGCTGAGGACAACAAAATTTATTACATCTGCTTACGACCACTATGACTAATGCAGGAGAGACCATTTCTTATGCCCAGATTCAGTAAAATGTTCCTAGGCAATCTCCTGCCTGGCATCCCTCTAAACCCCATGCCCCTTCAATTACTCTCTGTCCATCTGACACAGTATAGTTTTCACAGAGGAGATATGTCACCAAACATGACACTCTTTCCTTAAAGTCCCTCAGTGCTTGCACAAGTACATATATACACTAATATTAGTGAATGAACTCTTAAAAAATGCTCAATTGTTTCTCTATTAACCACAATTTCAACACACACCTCCCCGCAGCACAGCAGGCACTGGGTAGGGAGCCAGATCTGTCACAGCTCATCATCATTCTGAGAATGAAATTTAATTTCCTTGGTAGACCTTCAACGGGGAAGTAGCTCAGTTAGTAGATGTCTGCCTAGCACCTAGAGACGGTCCTGGATCCCCAGAGTGCACACACACTGCATGCCTGGGATCACAGCCCTTACATTATCATCTCATTAGGTATCTCTAACTACAAGGTTGAATTCAAGGCCAGCCAGGGACATCTCAAGAAAGACTGTCCACCCTCCCACCACTCTCTCCTCCCAAGTACTCTATCTCCTAACATAAAGAAACACATTTACAGGGCGGTGCTGGCGCACACCTTTAATCCTAGCACTCCAGAGGCAGAGGCAGGAGGATCTCTGTGATTCTAAGACAGCCTGGTCTACAGAGTGAGTTCTAGTACAGCCAGGGCTGTTACACAGAGAAACCCTGTCTTAAAAACTAAAACAAACAAACACCAAAGGGGGGACACATTCTATAGTCTTCTCGGTTCTGTGTTCCTGTCTATTCTATCTCACACGCGTCACCACCCAGAGGATCACTCCTTCTCGTTCCTTACCCTACTGTAGGTTCTTAACTCTAACTGATCCTAAGGTTGGCTATGTGTCCCCCTCAGTAGTGGGAACTGGACCCCTGACCTCAAACTAAACAACGGCTCCACTACTTGGCTGTACTGCCAACTCCTACATTGTTTTTAAGATTTATTTTTATTTTATGTGCACGAATGATTTGCCTGCATGTATATCTCTGCACCACACTTGCCTGCCTGGTGCCCACAGAGGCCAGAAGAGCATGCTAGATCCCCTGGAACTGGAGTTATGGATGGTTGTGAGCCTTCATGTGGGATCTTGGAATAAAATGCAAGTTTTCTGCAAGAGCAGTCAGTGCTATAACCACGGAGCCACCTCTCCAGCACCCCTTTTCTCTGCCTCACTCAGTCGCCTGCCTCAGTCTCCCGAGTGGATGAACTACAGTAGACTGCTGTATCAGGCTGAGTGCTGTTTCTGTATGGTCTTCGACGCCCATACAACTCCGCATGGTAACTCCTGACTGACTTGTTTCATTTCCCAAACTTGGAGCTCTTTGAAGACAATGTCTTTCTTCTCTGTATCTCTATCCCCTAGCACAATGCCAATCATCAAAGATGTCATTTTAAAAAAATTGTTGGTGAGTGAATTGTTTTAAAAACATGGATTAAAAACTAAACACAGGGGGCTGGAGAGACGGCTCAGAGGTTAAGAGCACTGACTGCTCTTCCAGAGGTCCTGAGTTCAACTCCCAGCAACCACATGGTGGCTCACAGCCATCTGTAATGAGATCTGGTGCCCTCTTCTGTTCATACATGCTGTATACAAAATAAATAAATAAATCTTTAAAAAAAAAACCTAAACACAAAGAACATATAAAAATAAGATCAGGAACAGGCAAGTGAACTCTTCCACAATAAAGCCCAAGCACTGCTCGGCTCTCTGGAACACAGGAGGCAACAGTCTCTATCTACAAGGGCAAGACGCAGGTGCTCACTGGGCACCTCAGGTGCAGGGAGGCACACACAATGGCTCACCACCCACAGGCAGCATCCTCGCTGCAGGATACTTACTGTGTGTGGATGAGCACATGCTGCTTGAGGTCCTGCCTCCTCATGAACAGCTTGTCACAGTAATCACACTTGAGATTCTTCTCACCCGTGTGGATGACCATGTGTGACTCCAAGTGAGCCTTCTGGGTGAAAGACTTGTCACACAAAGTACACCTGTAATTCTTCTGACCTGCAATTTAACATCACACTGAGAATAAAATAACTACAGATGCTCGGACAAGCAGGCATGTTTGGAGAAGCAGCCCATGCAAGAATCAAGCAGAACTAACTCATGCCTGGCACTTCATTCCCTATGCTACCTACCTAAAACAGTCTAGGCCATTCATTTACAACCTAAACTAAAGCTAGCAAAGCCAGTAAGTATGACCTCCTGAAACTTCTTATCTAAAGTACATATGGCACATGATACAAACTTTGAAGAAGAAAAAAAATTACAATAGCAGTGCCTAGCTAATTTAAAAGAACTTGGGGTTAGCAATATAACAGTTGACAGAGTGCCTGCCTAGCATACCTAAAGCGCTGAATTCAATTTCCAGCACCAATTAGCCAGGTACGGCAGTGCATGCCTCAGAGCCCAACACTTAGTAAATGGATACCGGAGGGTCAAAAATTCAAGGCAGCAGTGGTGCATGCCTTGTATTCCAGCACTCGGGAGGCAGAGGCAGGTGGATCCTCTGAGTTCAAGGCCAGCCTGGTCTACATAGTAAGTTCCAGGGCTTCCAGGACTATTTGCTACACAGAGAAACCCTGTCTCAAATAAACAAAAAACAAAGGAAGAAAGAAATTAATTCAAAGTCATCCTCAGCAAGTGTAAGGCTAGCCTAAGCTAATGAGACTCACTATACAAAAAAAAAAAAAGCTAACCACTCACAAACTACAGCAAATGTCTATAGGTCTACAGGCCAACATTTCCATTGAACAAATCCTTCCAAGTATATTTTAAGAAAAACTCTAGGTTGGCAAATCTAGGAAAGAAAAAGGGAGGGAGGAAGGGAGGGAGGGAAAAAAGAAAAAGTATAGTGGATGTTTTAACTTCTGGAGGACACATGGTCTCTGCTCCAACTACCCAGTAATAAATGGACTGAGGAGGAAACTTCCTCTTGGTGATCTGTAGAACAAATGGGTCAACCAAGAAAATGAAAACCTCACTGGTTACTCTGTACTATGTATGGGGGGAAAGAGCTGAGGGGCTACAGAGATGGGCCAATGGTTAAAAGCAATGGCTCACTGGCTACACTTGCAGAGGACCTGGGTTCAGTTCCCCACACCCTATGGCAGCTCACAACCATCTGGAACTTGAGTTCCAGGAATGGATGCCCTCTTGTGGCCTCCACAGCACCTGCATAAAAGTGGTACACATACATACACGCAGACAAAATATCCATATGCATACAATACAAAAATCATTTTTTTAAGAGCTGAAGAGACTGGTTTCCATGGAGTTTAGAAAATGGAAGCTCAAATATGGAAACTGGGCAGTGTTTACTGAGCACTCATGACTAACGGCAGGAAGAGCTGCAGAGGGAAGCTCAGAGGCGCTGATGGACTCCCCTCTGCTGAAATGGAAACACTAGGATCAATGTCTGATTATTAATTATTCTTCCAGGCTCCTTCAAGCTACACAGGATTCCTTAAAGTAAAATACCTTTGTAACCCGAAGTAACACCCTGAGTAGCCTGAGGTTTCCCATCTCACGAGGCTTACCACCCAATGCCTTCCCCCGCATAGCCATCTGGACACTTTCTGTGACCTATTATTACAACTCTATCTCCAATAATTTCTTCAGCCAAGTCTTTATGGCTGCAATTTCTAATTGCTATAAAAACCCCATGCCGATGGTTCAATACAGCTTACCTGTATGTATTTTGAGGTGTGTCCGTAGGTTGCTTGGATCACTAAAAGCCTTGCTACAAAAATCACACTTGTGGGGCTTCATGCCCATATGTCCCATAAAGTGGACGTGGAGTTTTGAAGGAGAGATAAAAGCCTGCGGGCACATGGAACACTTCCACTTCCTTTCCTTGCTGTGGCTCGGCCCGTGGCTGCTGCTGTGGCCCTGGCCAGGGAGATGGCTATGGATGTGGCTGGTCAGATGAGCTTTGAACTCTGAATAGGAATTGCACTCCTTGCCACAGTTACAGAGGTGCACATCTGGGTGTTCAGGAACACCTTTAAAAAAATTAAATCAACATCTCCTGTTACTTTAATTTCAAAATTATTCTTGACATTAATTACTGATGATTAAAATAAATCAAAGAATTTTCCCTTCTACCAAAATGTCTAACTTGCTCACTACCTGTCAAATTAAGATATCTTGTACAGTGCCATATTTCTGTCATCTAAAGTAGTGTACCAGGGCACACAAAAAGCACATGGTAAACACGAGATTGATTAATAAAGTCTTTTTACTGGAGAAACCATTTACATTTTGTAGTGCACAAAGTCTTAAATAGACTTGTCAATGAAACACAGGGGAAAGAGGAAAAAAAACATTAAATCAAACCCAAGGGACTTTGCTAACTTTCAAGAAGTTCAAAACAGCAGTTTCAGGGAGTTTCAAGCCCTGATTCAAAGACCTACAACCAAAGCTTATTTATTTGAAAATCAGTAACATCAAGCTAGTGAAGAGCTACAGATTTCTGTCCCCTCGAACACAGAACTAAGAGCTTGCTTTCTTAAAGCCCTCTCTGTAAAATCTGTTGCAGGAGATCCGTTTGTGCTGTCACTCCGAGACCGCCAACGGAGTTACACCTTGATACAGAGGGTGGAGTCCACAATCAGCTGGCCATAATAAACCACAGAGTCTTCTCGAGGACCTAGATGAAGATAACTACAGAGAGGAAGGAGGGGCTTGAAAAGATTCACGTGTCCTGTTGATCTGAAAAGGTGGAGAAGTGGGCCAGCTGATGGTTTCCAGTCACTCCATGGATCTATCAGGCTTATACCCTAATATCTGACTCCCGAGCTTCAGTTGTTAATAAAACAATGATAGTAGCTGCAATTAAAATCATTACTGCACTCTCTCTGGTCACTGACGGTACTGCACCAGATGCATGACAGCAAGTCTCACAGACTTACCAATCTGTTGAGCATAGTCTCGGCTATAATAGAAAAGCAGTTCATTCTCAGGAGGGATGTCTTGTGAGGTACAGAAATAGATTTTTCCATCATGGGGATAAGCCACCAAATTCTGTTCTTCACGGTTCCTACATAATCACATGTAAAGAGAACAGGTTTCATTGTGTTGCTCAGGCTGGTTGTAAACTCCTAGCCTCAATTAATTTTCCATTCAGCCTCCTAAACAGCTAGGGCTCCAGGTGTATAACACCATACTTGGTTTAAGGGCACTTTCTATTCACTGCTGTGCACCAAACTAATGCGTTTCACACACTAGGCAAGCAATCCTACCAATAAGCTACATCTCCTGCCCTCTGAGTACAATAATTCTAAAATATATACTAGACATGCCATGCCCTCTATAGCAGAATCCAATATGGAAGATTAGATGGAACTATTTTCTCATCATTTCTGTAATTCTCTATCCACCCTGTTAGGGATTGTGAGAAACAATTTTTACTTAGGTACATAGGTGGTTATCCTTTATAGTCAGAAACAACACAGACTGTTACTAGATGAAAAATGAGTAAGTAAGTAGCTAGGCACGGGCAATTCACACCTGTAATCCCAGCACTCCAGAGACTGAGATAGGATTGATTACAGGAGGACTGCTCCAAGTTCCAGGTCAGCCTGATGTACATAATGACATCCTATTTCAAAACAAACCCAAGATAAATAACATGAATTGCTCCTGTTTGTTTTGAGACAGGTCCCAATCTGTGCTCAGGCTAACCCAGAACTTCGCTATGTAGCCCAGAGCAGCCTAGACCTTGCAGACATCTTCCTGCCTCAGGTTCCCAAGGGCTGGGCACTGGGTATCATAGGCCTGAGTTACAATGTTTGTGAAGTCTTAAAATTTCTTTATGACAAATATAGAAAGATAGAAAGCTAACGAAAATTAATTCCAATAATAGCCAGAAAAAGACTATCGCTGATATGAAGAGGCATTCACTAGCAAACTCATGGATCACTGCACCAGAGGTTGAATAAAATGTTTATTTAAAAAGAGACATACTCTGCTTTATAGTCACCCAGTCAACTATTACAGAATAAAATGCTGAAAAGGCATGGGCTTTAAGCACGTCGAGGGTGGTAACTTGTATTCTATAGCTCTTTCATATCTCATGTAAAGTTTCCTATTGAAAAACTATCTGAATGGTAAGGATCCTTTATCTAAACCCCCCTTACCTGGCTTTGCGCACAAACATCATCCAATTACACTCATTTTCATCCGTTGTGATGATGCAGAATTCTAGGACACCACTGTGGTATATCTGCCAATAGAAGGCATGCATACACATCAAGTGAACGGAAAACCTTTCCTTCACTCATCTAGTCAATGCTAGCTAGGCCTCTGCACGTTGACTTCACCACTCGTCCTATTTCCAGAAGTACGAGGGGGAGCACTAGCAGTCTTTAGGTGCTGCTCTGCGTATAGAACGACACCACTCTCGAGTACCTTTTAGCTAAAAAGATAAAATACAGTCTTACTTGTCTGTCTGTCTTTATCAACACTACCAGATAGGTGCTGTGGGACTGGCTATCTGCTGAGGACCACCCCCACCCATTTTTCCAGTCAGACATCAAAAACTAAAGTCCCCTATGATGCACTGCCTCGCTGTTTCAGTTCTGTACCCACCATTCTTTAAGATTCTATATCATGTTACTAGTATAGCTATTGATGTCAAAATCTTATATTCCTATTAGGAAACTAAGAGAGATAACTGCAGCTAATGCTAGAATTATTCTCTAAGCCAAATATTTGAGGAATGTTTAGTCAATTATAAATAACTTTAATGACAAGTGTGCCTTTAGTCCCAGCACTCAGGTGGCAGAGGCAGGCAATCTCTGAATTTGAGATAAGCCTGGTCTACACAGAGAGTTGCAGGACAGCACGGTTATACAGAGAAATCCTGTCTCAAAAAAAAAAAAACCAAAAACAAAAAAACAACAGAAAACATTTATTTTGTAAACAAAGTTCATAGCCTCAGCAGCCACAAGAAATCAAAATGCATAAAATGATTCAAATTAGAGCTCAGATAGTAGCCTGGTGGTTAACAGCACTAGCTGCTCTTGCAGAGGCTCTGAGTTCGGTTCCCAGCTCCCACACAGAGGCTGGTAACTGTCTGTAAATCCAGTTCCAGGGGTTGACACCCTCTTCTGGCCGCTACAGGCACTGCACAAAGTGGTACACATTCAGGCAACACACACACATATATAAAATAAAAATAAATCTTTTGAAGAGATCAAAATCACTGCATTAATCCATAAAATGAAAATTATATCAGTTTATCCCCTATTTGTTCAACGGCTGGGACACTACTGTAAAGATTTTATAGCAGAAATAAGAGAATGTAGTACAAAATAAATAATGGACAGGTGAATGCACGCTCAGTCCTGGGAGATTTTGAGTTGTCCCTTTTTAAACCATCACAAAATAATGAAAACAGCCCAAAACGTCAAGCATGGCAGTGGCATGGTATAATCTCAACATCTGGGAAGCTAAAGAGGAAGGCTCAGAGACTGAAGCCAGCATGGGCAGCCAAAAGCCAACGAGGTTTCTTCAACACTGACCTTCCAGACATGGTTAACTGCCTTGTCTGTCCACTCTGCTACTTCCATGGAGTGGCTCTGCTGACCAATCAGAGGCCCGAAGCAAGTGCGCACAGGAATGGTCTCTGCAGTCCACACACCTATGAACAGAAGTACACCAACTACAGTGATTTAAACATAAACTAACAAGGGCACTAAGGCAGGGGCTAACAACTTCTATGTGTCAACCATCCTGAGACAGCTAAGACTTAGGGGCGAGCCTACAATAATAGACAAGAGCCCAAAAAGATGCGTCAGTGGGGAAAAGCACCTCTCCTGAAAGCCTAGTGACCTGGGGTCCACCTACAGAGTCCCACTACCAAAGTTGTTCTCTGACCTTCACATGTGTGTCACGGCATGTGTGCAACTATACTCACATAGCATGCACAGCATAGCACGTGTGCGCGCATGCTTGCGCGCGAGCACACACTTAAACTGAAATGCAGAAAAAACAAAATCAAATTCCTGCTGTACACACACAAAACCTACATTCCTCCATATCTTAGCAAGAGACCAGAAAACATTTTATCAAAAAAAAAACAATTTATATAAAATAAGTTTCCAAAAATCTCTTATGCTTAATGTATTGTATGATTATTATCTAAGTTGTTTAGTGCTTTCAAGATTCATGCCTGAGCTTAGGCTGAAAAATAATAAACCCAATTTGATATTTTCAAAGAGTTGGCACAGTAACTTGGAAGCTGTGTAATTCAGATACGGGTAAATAATGCCCTGGTCATCTAGACTCCTTCCTAAAGAGTGTTACACAATTATATTTTTTTAAAAATCTGCTTATCTTCCACACCACACAATTATCAAAGTCTAATTTTCCATGTTTTAATAGAAAATAAGTTTCAAAGAGCATGATAGCATGCCAGTTGTTGAGTGGATGTAAGAGCTGAGAACAGGTCTCCAAAGACTCAGGCCAGGATTTATGCTTCTATTCAATTCTGACTCAGGAGAGGCTCTGCACACAGCTTTACTATTCTCACCATCAGGGAAGTCAACTATTCCCTAACAGTACACATTTTAAGCCACTGACTTTTGAATCAACTAATCACTAATTACACACAAACTTACAACTCCACCCCATAAGGAAAGGAGACTTGATGGGATTATGTGGTCTCTTCCAAAATTCTTACCAACTTCTGTGCCCACAATGGACGGGCGGAGAACAAGTTGCTTTGGGAGGGACAGCCTTGCTCTGCTCTCTATCGGTGTGTCAGGAACAAAAGTCACTGGTCCGTGATCAGGGCAGTCTGAGGGGTAGGCTCGGTCACAGAGAGTGCACCCTGCAGGCAGCACGCGTGAAAGACACAGACGGGCGTAGTTCACATAGCTGTTCCCACTCGGTATCAAATGCGAATACTACATCAACCCGTAAGAAGGGTCTTCATTACACTTATCGGAGGGGCTCTCACTGACGGGCTTCTGAATTTTGGGCCCTATTGTTCACTATACTCAGAAGCTCTTCGGTATCCTTACCCGATGGTTTCATCCCCCTGCCATGGCCATGATTACTACCTTGACATAATCCCTCCCTGAGCTCCATCAGACATCTCTATGAGCACCTCACACACTGAAGCAGTCTCTAGAATGGACTCATCACTCCCCTCCCCACCTCTCAGCACAATGTTCATGGAATTTCGCATGCAGGAAACAGCTGTCTCCCGAGCACCACCCCCTTAGCCTACTACAAGCTCTAAATGACCATCCCACAAACATTCTACTTTCTTCATCTTACTTCGGTGAGGACAGGAAATCACCTTTTACTCAATTTCAGCGTTATCTCCCTACAATACTTGCCTCTAACAAATTTAGCAGCTCACACTGCAGTAGAAGCCCACAGCAATCCTTACTCCTAAAACCCTGACAGGTCTTAACAGCCCTGTATGTTCTGCTCCTACCTGTCTCCCTAGGTGACTGCTCCCTCAGCCCCATTTCCACTGCAACCATCTGAACCATTGTGAGTCTTTTCACTCTAGGCACTCACAGGTACCAACGGCTGTCTTCCTATCGACTGCCTACCACCTCTCCCGTCCTCCGGCCTGTGCTAACACATATGCTGCCGATCCTCCCACAGCCTAGTAACTTGTTCGTAAACCCCACGAGCTTAATCCCATCATGACACTTTTATTGTTACTATGTACTATAGCTGCCCATGCTCTGTTCAGGCCTCCCATCGGGCTACAGGTCTGTACTGTCTTGGTAGACTGCCCTATCCCCTCATCTGGCAGAGCACAGCGGACAGTGAGCAGATGAACAGTTTCTGGCATGGCTTAGCACAAAGTGAAACCAACAAATCAACCATTTTTGCCCAATCAAAAAGAACTTTCACACGTCCAACTATAGTAACTCATACACGCTAGGACAAACCACTACAGATCAACCTACATTTTCCTAGTTACTTTCTCCTGGCATGCGCTCAAAGAGCATAATGTACATCACCAAGATTACCTGTGCTAAGTTTTACTCCTGTAATGCTGTTTGGGAAATACCTTAATTATAGGGCTACAACTAGTTAGTAAAATACAGACATGACTATATTGTCTGTTTACTCCACAAAGTCAATGTAAGAACCAATAAACTGCGCATATAGTATTTGACTTGAAGAAATGGCACCAGATTAATAAAAGGATAGTATGAGAGCAAAGAAAAAGTTTAAAGTGGAATTCCTTTCTCCACTCCCTTAACTAGCGTCAGATTATATCAAACACTAGTCAGGACAATGGCATTCTAAAACCAGCATCTGGGATCTGTAGAGAGGGGTCAGCAATTAAGAGCACTTGCTACTCTTGCAGAGGATCCAGGTTTGATTCCCAGAACCCACATGATGGCTCACACTATTTGTAACTCTGGTTCCAGGGGATCCAGCACTGTCCTAGTTTCTGCAGGCGCTAGGCATGCATGTGGTACATATACATACATGTAGGCCAAACTCTCAAACACATATACTTTTAAAAAACAAAACCAAGTATTTCCAGAAGAGAACAGCGAAGCACACTCACAGATTGTAAACAAGGTTGCCATATTTTCCTTGTTTGAATTGGAGTCTTCCATTTGCAGCGAAGGTGGTACAAAAGCCAAGCTGTCTGAGGACACATCTACATGACCTGTCCCCATAGCAACCTCCTGCGTGATGGAAGAGACAGCCACAGGCTCTAGGCTAAGGCCAACTTCATGGAGGGAAACAGATTCTAGGGAAGCGAGGTTGTGTGAGGTAGAGAGTGCCACGCTTACAGAGTTGGTGCTCATGGCCACGGTGTGGATGGAGTCACTGAGGGCACTGTCAGACATCCCATTGACCCGATTTGCAATGTGGTCTGTCTCCATGACCACAGGAAGCTCCAGACCATTCCCATGAATGGGTATCACACCACCATGTCCTACAGTGTCTGCTGTAAGGTTGTTGCTCACAGAATCCACAGAGAGAGGTTCATGACTTCTGGAGCCATTTGGGATTTGCGAATGTTCTCCTGCAACACCATCCATTGTAAGCTCCTCTGCCATTCCATCTGTAGAGATTGGGCTGGTAACCCTAGAAACATTCTCCATAGTGATTGTTGTGTCCAATGCCACTTCGTGGCCATCATTAGGATGAAGACTTTGGGCACCATGTGTGTTCACAGAGCGAGAGTCTATTGAAACAACACCTAATTCTAGTCCAACATTTCCGTTGGCCTGATAGGGATCTAGTGCTGAAGGGCTGTTGGTGATAGACAACGCTGTATTACCATCAACGTTTATAGAGTTGGGGTGGATGTACTGAGGAGGTGGTCTGTCAGCTAAATAAGATAAAATGCCTGGGAAAAGAGGAGGGGTCAAAGAAGAGAGAGATTAGCACATTGTTAAATGTAAGAAATTTCAAGTGCTAGAAACCGTTTTCTTTACAAATAGAGCTGAGTTAAATAACCTGCTATTTCTTTAATGAATATCTATACTAATACATATACCATTCTGAGTTTCTTTATGAAACTCAAATCCTAAACACAGGAAGCTGATCTGATAAAGCCAACTAGAAACAACGTAAATGGAATCTCTAAGATGCTAAAATTTGATCCACCAAAAAAAAAGTAAATAATAAAGTGATTTAAGAACTTGTTATAAAATTATTAAAGCAATTGGGTGGTGGTGGTGCACGCCTGTAATCTCAGCACCAGGAAGGCAGAGCCAGGCGGATCTCTGTGAGTTTGAGACCAGCCTGGTCTACAGAGCGAGATCCAGGATAGGCACCAAAGCTACACAGAGAAACCCTGTCTCAAAAAACAAACAAACAAAAAAATTGTCAAAGCAAATTAAATGATTCAAAACAAGCCTATTTTACAGAAACTTTTTTTGGGAGGTGGGGGCAGGTTAGGATCAGACCCAGGGCCTCAAAAAAAAGTCTTACTATTAAACTACTTCCCAAGTCCAAAGCTATGCTTCCAAGGATATAGGATGTCATCTGAGGTACTTCTAGTGGGAGAGTATATACTAAAACACAGTATATTTATGAACCTCAAAAATGACCATACTGTCTTGCATTAAACATTCCATTTACAGCAACCTTCCCTAAATGCCTGAGTGTATTTTGCAAATATACACAAAGACACCCCTAAGAACATCAGCTATGACAATAAAACCTGGAAAAACCAAGCTGCCCAACAATAAAGACTAATGCAATAAGCCATTAAATATCCATTCAGTAGTCTGAATTCCTGATCTCCCTGCTTCAGCTTCCCAAACATTGGAATTAACACAGGTATGCTATCTAAAAAGACCATTATGGGTGTCGGGCTTGGTGGCACACCCCTTTAATCGCAGCACTTGGCAAAGAGGCGGGCAAGTCTCTGAGTTCAAAGCTAGTCTGGTCTACATAGTGAGTCCTTAGGCCAGCCAGGGCAACATAATGAAAGCCTGTTCCAAAAAAGGACAGGAGAGGGGTTATGAAAATCATGCAGTAGCAAGGGAAAATAAAAAGTGAAAAAAGACACACAACCGCAGAGAAATCACGGTCTTAAATCATGAAAAACTGTAACCAAAACGTACTCCAAAACGACAGAAGCACACCAGAAAGACAAATGTGGCCTCCTTTTTCCCTGTTTGTTAAACTGTCTGAAAAGATCATATGTAATACTTTTATAACAAAATAAAAAGTCAATAAGTTTAAGCACGACAGGCAGCTGGTTAATTATGGAATTAAAAATGTTACATCAATATTCAGTGATCATAATTCGTTTTATATAAAAGACTGGTTAGCTGGGATAGGGGGTGGAGGTAGGAGTAGGGGAGACTGGGGTGGCACATGCCTTTAATCCTAGCACTCAGGAGGCAGAGGCAGGTGATCGAGGGCAGCATGGTCTACAGAGTGACTTCCAGGACAACCAGGACTACACAGAGAAACCCTCTCTCAAAAAAACAAAACAACAAAAAAACAGAATTGTACCATAGGGAACTGGAAAATGACTCCGCAGGTAAATCACCACTATGTAAGCCTAAAGACCTGAGTTTAGATTCCCAGTGCCCATGTAAATTCCAGGAGGGCATGATGGCCTAACAATAATCCCTGGAACAAGTTGGTTAGTTACACTAGCTATTGAATCAGCATGTTCCGAGTTCAGTGAGACCTAGCTTCAATATGGAAGGTCAAGAACAACTGAGTAAGACACTGACATTAACCTCTAGCCTCCACAGGCACCAATATATACCTGCACACTCAACACGTGTAAAGAAAAAGCTGTAACATACACCAGGTATGGTGGAGCTCGTCTATAATCCTGATACTAAGTTTGAGGCCAGCCTTGTCTACATAGCAGGTTCCAGGGCTACAAGCAAGACCCTGTCTCAAACCAACAACAAAATCCTCCTCATGCCAGTAATCTAGCCCTTTGAAAATGGGAAGCAAGAGTATTAGGAACAAGGTCATTCTCTGCTACAGAGGCAGTTGCCAGTCTCAAAATAAAATAAAAGGGGCGCTAGGCGGTGGTGGCGCACGCCTTTAATCCCAGCACTCAGGAGGCAGAGTCAGGTGGATCTCTGTGAGTTTGAGACTAGCCTGATCTACAGAGCGAAATCCAGGACAGGCACCAAAACTATACAGAGAAACCTGTCTTAAAAAACCAAAAAAAAGCCGGGCGGTGGTGGCGCACGCCTTTAATCCCAGCACTCGGGAGGCAGAGGCAGGCGGATCTCTGTGAGTTCGAGGCCAGCCTGGTCTACAGCGCGAGATCCAGGAAAGGCGCAAAGCTACACAGAGAAACCCTGTCTCGAAAAACCAAAAAAAAAAAAAAACCAAAAAAAAAAAAGGGTTTCGGATGTATCTTAGTGGTAATATGCCTTTCTATTATGCATGAGGCCCTAGGTTCAATCCCCACCACTCCAAAAAAACCAAAACAATTAAGAGAATTAAAACTACACTAACAAGACTATGGGAAAAAAAAAAGAATTTCCTTAATTAAATTGCTTCCTTCATATTGAACTATATGCATGTTCTAAGCAAAGCACACAAATATCAACACACCCAGAGACTAATATCCAATAATAACAGAGAAAAAGATGTTCATTCTAACCTCCAGAAGCTAAGGTCAGAATGGTTCCATCCCGCACCCCCACCTTCCTCCACACAGTAACTACAAAACTTACCAGGTAGAATGGTTCTGAAGTAACTGCTCTCTAGGTGAGGGTAAGGTGGCGGAGGTAGGGTGTAGTTTCTTTCAGGTAACCCACACATCACCCCTCGATCTCCAATTCCCATGGGGAGCATCAGAGACAAGGCAGAAGGCAGAGAGCTCAGGGAGGGGCCCAGGTTTGGAATTGCCACCGGGAGACCTTTAAAAAAATCGCTTTTCTTAATTAAAAGAAGATTAGTAACTAAAAACCACTGGCAAAACTCTTGGAATTTAGAGAAACAAAAGAATCTCCCCAGTACCCTTTGTAACCCAAGACAGTATTGGGCAACATCTATAACAACCAAACAATCCTAGTCCCCAAATTACTTCTTGGAAAGGGTCTATGTAGCCCAGGCTGACCTATGATCCAGTGGAATGCTGGGATTACAAGTGTGCATGACCAAACCTGGCCCTCAGATTAGTGTGTATGTGTGCACATCAGGTTATTTTAAAGTGCTAAGCTGACCCTCCAGTTGTTTCTCCCAAATACCAAAACAATTAACAATCTAGTTGCATAATAGCTCAGAGAACAAATTACATTAAAAACAACAAAGCAAGGCTGGAGAGACAGCCTAGTGATTAAGAGCGTGAACTGCTCCACCAGGACCAGAGTTCAATTCCAGCAGCCATTTCAGTCCTCCAGGCCAGACCCTCTGCAAGGCACCTGCCCTCGTGTGCATATACTTACACATAACTAAAAACAGTAAAAATGACTCTTTAAGGTAAATAAGCATTAAAAAACAAACTGTTCACAGGTGCGGTCTCTTGCAGTGATAACTTTTTTAAAGCTTTATTTTCCCTTTTCATCATGATACACTTCACTTTGAAAGGACTCAATTGCTTGCATCATGGTGCATTACTTCAGTCCCAGAACCAGGAAGGCAGAGGCAGAAAGAGTTTTAAGCTGAGCTTGGGCAACATAGTGAGACCCTGTTTAAAAATGTAACAAACAAAAACCAGCTATGTTTGTACTCTGAATTCATCCAGATTAAAGTTAGACACGGATCGCTATGTGTTTATTTTCAGCCCTTTCTTTCTGTGCTATACTTCACAATCCACAGTCTGACCCTTAGGCCACACCTACCTTGGATCACACCCACTGGCAGAATGCGTAAATGACTTTTCCTGTGCTTAAGCATCAAATGAATATCCACCAACTTAGTTAGTGCTGATTTGCATGCTTCAGCCAAAGGGAGTATTTTTTAATACAAGCCTTTTCTAAATAAGACTATCTACTAAAAGAAATGCCTAAGAGATAAACAGATGGGTTAGCAATTTTTTAAATGAGAGTTTCAAGGCCAAAGCTGGCCTTCAACTCCTATCTTCCTGCCTGTACTCTTAAATGCTGAGGTTAGAGCATACGTCATTATGTTTTTTTAAGTTTTTGTGGGGCTGGAGAGATGGCTCAGCAGCTAAAAGCATTTGCAACACTTATAAAGGACCCAGGTTCAGAGCGTTAGCACCCACATGGTAGTTCACAACCATCTGAAACTTGAGTTCCAAGGAATCTGACTCCCTATTCTTGCCTCTGTGGGCACCAGGCACCCATGTGGTACACAAAAGTGATCCTGGGTCTGCTTCAGGTTATCAGTGTGTAAAGAAGCACCATGTTTTCAACAGAGTCCAACAAAAGACACAACATCACATAAACAAACTTTAATTTTTAAAATTTTTTTGTGTTGACACTTTAAGGAAGGAGATGCTAATTTCAATTTATCTGACTTAGCTGCTGCATTTTACTAATTCAGGGTATAATTCACTACAAAGAACTACTGAAATATCTTTTACACATTACTTAAAATACTAAACATAAAGTCCAATACAACATTACAATGCTACATATCCTTAACATTAATAGCTTACTCATTTTTCACTTCAATGTTTCAGAACCAAGTGTGGTGGCACATGTCTGTAATCCCAGCACTTGAGAGATGGAGCCAGGAGGATCAGGAGTGCAAGGTCACCCTGGTTATATTAAGATTGGGGTCAATCCAGGTTACGTAAGACCAGTTCTCAAACAAAACAAAATCTCCCAACAACAAAAAAAGGGAGTTATATGCTAAGGCATGGGATAGGGAAGAATGAGCTTCCTCCATCCTGTGTCTCTGCAGATGCCCATGCTCACAGTGACTTCACACAGGAGCTCCATCTCTCGCACCGCTTTCCCATGAAGCCGGCCTCGCACATTCCTACAGATATTCGGTTTCCCATCTAAGACAGGGCCGATCTCAAAGAGGAAATTTAACTGATTCTCTCTATTAATTAGGGACATGATGTCAAAGTGTCAACCAGATGAGTATGAGAAGCCCCAGATAAAAAGCCAAGTCAATTTCAGCTCTGGATCAGAGAGACTAACCCAAAAGAAACGATGAGAAAAAAGCGGCCACTCCCATCCACTAGGATGCTGCAACTATACAACACACTTGGCAGAGGCCACTCACTGCTTTCTCTGTACTACCCTAAAATGCACGCAGATCCGAGCCCAGTGCTCAAGTGCAATGGCTCCCACTCACCTGGGGCAGGGATGGCGCTGTGAGAGGGAGAGGCAGCCAAACCCAGGTGACTTCCTGAGACCGGCAGGGCATTGTTCACAGAGGATGAAGACAGCTGCTCCATCCCCACTGGGCTCAAATTCATGTCATTCATCCTAGGAAAAACACACACCATAGCAACCTCATGTTAAAAGAGCCAAGAATCTAGGGATGGGGAGATGGGACCTGACCAACTGCTCTTTATGCACATGTCTCTGAAACCACAAGAAGGAACTGAGATTCAGAGTTAACAATGCATGTCAATATCTCCTACCATACACAGGACTGGAATTCAGCCTACCTTGTTCCAAACCCTACACAAGCACCCAAAGACACAAGTCTACAATCTACAGCTCCAGCTATGGTGGCTTATTTTGTCTGTTTGTTTTGTTAAATCACCCAAGCTTTTCTTCTCATGGTAGTTACTATTTCCATTGGGCTTATCTGCTCAGACTAGTAGTTTTTAGGCATTCTATTTTAAAGTACTCAAATAGTTTTACTAACCCTCTTTATAGTGAGTTAAAAGTAATCCTGAGTCTGATTCAGATTACCAACAGCATAAAGAAGCACCATGTTCTCCTAAGAATCAGTATTTCTTAAAATCTGTATCAATATCTTATTAAACAATAATCTTAATACCCTCACACACTGAGGTTCATCATGCAAGCTTTGCTAGAACTCTACTAAAACAATTTTGAATTTTCACACTAATTCTGCGTAGGAAGGTAGATGAGGAATTAAGGCTTAAAGATGTAGCATATGCCTCAAATCACAAAGTAGCTCAATAAAAGGGCATCAACCACCCTGCAAAGGACTGCCAAAGATATTCCAACACGTCGGACTCTATTAATACACAGACCATTTTCAGACAGCCGAAGAATCAGGAGATCACCTTTTCTGTACAGCCCTTCTTGCAATGCCGCTAAGCACATCTAAAGGAGTAGTGATGCTGAGTGAAAAAGCCAGTACTGGCAGTTGTTATTTAAAGGCATTAGTTTTAGGCACAGAAGTAGGGAGGCTGAGGCAGGAGGATTGCCAGAAGGTCCAAGCTTACCCTGTACTGAATGGTAAACTCAAGGTCAGTCTAGACTACATAGCAAGATCTTGCCTCAAAAGAAAATATAGAGGGCTGGAGAGATGGCTCATGGGTTAAGAGCCCTTCCCGCTCTTCCAGAGGACTTGAATTCAGTCTGCAGTAACCATGTTCAGTTCCCAACATCCCATCAGGTGCCTTCACAAACCTGTGCTCCAGCTCCAGGGGGTTCCACACCCTCCTATGGCCTCCAAGGGCACCTGCACACACGGCATAGGCACAGACACACACATATAATTAAAATAAATAGTTTTAAATCTATACATATTAGTTTCTAATCAGAAGTTAGAGACCATACTATCATTTACAGAAGGCTATTCAAAGATCTCTAATGACTTGCCACCCTACTCTATATTCACTGGAACACGTAATTTACTCCTGCCTCTCCTAAACCACATACTTCAAGGTTGTGTGATGGTAAACCTCCGCTGTCAACCAGTGGACTTAGAATCACATGGGCATACATCTCTCAGTGTATCTATGAGGATGTTTCCAGAAAGGTTTAATTGAAAAGGTAAGATGCACACTGAATGTGGTGGGGGACACCCACATTCAATGGGGTAGGATGATCCTGTACTAAATGAAAATGAGAAAGCAAGCCCATCACCAGCATTTCCCTGTGCTTCCAGACTGCAGGCTGCCATGTCACTAGCCACCCCCCCCACCCCACCCCCACCATGGACTGTCCCCTGAACTGTAGGTCAGAGCACACCATCTTCTCTAGGGCGCTTCTTGGCTTGCATTTTGTCATAGCAACCAGAATGTTAGCTAACCCAGTGTGTTGTCCTCTTTTTCTAATTCGTGAAGAGAGGGCTGAGGATGGATATGAAGGTTTGGAGGCAGTTCTCAACTTCCATGTTGTTGAGGCAGGGTCTTTATTATTTTTGCTGAGCTACATTCAGGCTAGCTGGTTTGCAGCTCCGTCCAAGGTGATCCCCGGTGTCAGCCTCCCATTTCCCTAAGGAGTGCTAGAATTACAATGCACAGCACTGCATACAGCTTTGTATGTGGGTTCCAGGGACCCAACTGGAACTGTCAGCCTCCCTACATAGCCAGTGCTTTTCTTCACTGAGCCATTTCCCCAGTCCTGCACTGGCACCTTAACCCCATTTTAAGAAGAAAGCCTAGATTTTGAGGTTAAAGAACAACCTAAAATCACGTAACTAGTCAGAGGTATAGCTGAGTTTTGATCTCAGATCTAATTTAAGATGTCCAACCTCTTAGCCTAGTAACAAATTATAAACGAACTGTTTTTTGCCTTTTACAGAGTCAACGAACTGTTTTTGCCTTTTACAGAGTCCTATTTACGTTAGGACCTGGCTAAACGGTGAGGTATGAAGTCCTATATAGACCTGTTTCTTGAATTACACTATATCCACAGGGTAGTCATAAAACAAGCTTTTGGACATCAACTAAGCATGAAAGACCGTAAAGCAATGCCCACTCATCACCCTGACCAGAAAAACCACTAGAACCACAGGTAAATGAGGTACACTATCTGAAGGACCACAGACCAACAAAAGTCAATTTTTTTCTCACAAAGGAATGGAAACTCCCTGTAGCCTAAAGAAGCCATGCTATTTAACTCAGAGTTTCTAGGCTCCAGCTAGTTTAAAACAAACTTCTCTGACTTTTCCCAGCTGCAACCATACCTAAAACATCACCACTGGAACCATAAAACCTAAAACATACCAACCACAGTAATTTTAGAGCAAAGTGTGTCGCTTCACTTCCTATTCTGAAAGTTCCGAATGTTAAACTTTATGTCAGAATAAACATCGGTGTGAAATCCTAGGCCTTCTCAAACCAGTTCAAATCAAACTTTAATGGCAGAGGCTCAGCAGATTTCTGCTTTGTTGTGAGTCCCTAAACTGTGATGACCTCAACAGCCATAAACCAAAGGTAATAAGTAGTCAAAGACAGAAGACATTAGGAAGGAATGCACACTGTGATCCTCAAAAGGCTCTCTCCTCCAGAAGGACAATTCCATTCTACCTACCTGTCTCACATCACATCCTAAGAAAACCTACAGATACTGAATTCTGTCTTCTTCACTTTGACATCTTCGGCAAATCAGTCTGTTTTTATGTTTATAAACAACCTACATTATCATTTGTTAGATGCAGATCTCACACACTGTCTTCTGGAAAAATACGATCACTTTGCAAGATGCATCGACCAGCTCCAATAATTTCAATCAATACGTTTTTTCTTCCACATTCCAAACAGACTTTTAAAGGATTCTGAAAAATACCAGCTAAATACAACTTCGTCTTTGGTTTGTTTCTATACTGTGCTAGCACAGTACCTTCTAATTCGCAAAGCTTGCACAATTAATAACTTAAATCTCCGCACTCCACCATCCCCGGCTAAAGTTAACCCCCAAACCCAAAGGTGAAGGGCGATACTACAAAAACAGACGACTCGAATTAAAATATCAACGCTACCGTAACTCAAAGACAGAAAAAAGGTGTCAAGCAGCTAACAATGTGTAGTTACTCTAAACAATCACTCACACCTGGAATCAACTAGTACTCTGGATTTTTTTTTCTGGGGGCCTGGGGGAGGGTTAGGTTCGGGTGCTCCAATCCATTCACATGTCACACATACAGGTATCCAAACAAAGACTCCCTCCCCGGCGGTATCCTCCCGGCTTGCCCGGCCCTCCTCACCTGCGCGGGCAGTGCAGAGGACCGACGTCCGACTGGAGCGCGCCGGGGCCGGTGTCACGTGCTAACACATCCCGCGGGTGGCCGCGCCTCCCCGGACCGCCGGACGTCTCCGAGGGCTGGCGGCCTCGCTCCGCGTCCAGTGCGGGGCATGCTGGGCGGCGCCCGGGGCTGTTGTTCCGGAAGCGCCGGCAGCCCGGCTGGCCGACCTGGAAGGGAAGAAAAGCGATCAGCCCCGGCCTTTCCCCGCCCTGGCCGCCCTAGCCCACCCGGCTGCGTCGCCCACCTGAGGCCCGTGCTGGGGAGCACCGGCCCAGCCGCCCCGCTCTTCATCCGGCCGAACCTCGGCCCGGGAGCCCTGGTTCGCCCGGGACCCCAAGTACGGCTCCCCTAACGTTTCCCGCCCGGCCCCGCCCAGTGAGGCCCACCTCCTCAGGGCCGCACCCCCCGGGCACGTTTCCGGTTTCTCAGCCACTCGGGGCGCGTTTCCGGCTCCTCAGCCACTCCGCGTGCGTGCGGCCTGACCATTGCCTGCGCGGCGACCTTCCGTTCTTCTTAGTCGCACCGCCCACTCTCTGCGCGTGCGCACCCGGGGAGTGGGCGGGCTTCGAGAAGCTCCGCCCACAGCATTGTAGCGCTGGTGGGCCTCAAGCCAATCCAATCGAGCGCCGAGTAATCGACCCGCCGTTGCTAGGGGGCCAAAATTGATGCACTTGGTAGAGGTTCATTCTGAACTCCAAGGTTCTCCGGACTCTTTTCGGTCCTAATGGCATGTCCTCAAGTAGGGAAGCATGACTCCACATAGCACAGTGTGAAATACAGGATTAGGCCAGACGGTGGTGTGGCCCAGGAGTAATTGGGTTTCTATTCTGAAACTCTTGTACCCTATGTGAAGTTTCTCTGCTTCCATGCCATAAATGATGGTGCTAGGATTTGTGCAGGTTTCCTTCTCCCCTCTTTGCCTTTCCATCCCTACCTCATGGGCAGTGCTAAGAATGCCACACCAACTGCTTGGTAGCCAACTATTTACATTATGTTTATTCATGTGGGTGGGTGGGTGGATGTGCACGCTGTCACTAGAGCAAACATACATGTGAAGGTTGGAGAGCAACTTACAAGAATCCATAGAGAAAGTAAGAAAGGCAGTGGCGCCTTTAATCCCAGCACTCCCGAGGCAGAGGCAGGCAGATCTCTGTGAGTTCAAGGCCAGCCTGGGCTACAGAGGGAGATCCAGGACAGCCAAGGCTACACAAAGACACCCTGTCTTGAAAAAAAAAAAAAAACAAGCAAAAAATTGATGAGTTTTGTCATATGTAAAAATACCTTAGAAAGTCAAAAGTTGGGCATGGTAGTGCACATCAGTAATACCATACTTAGGAATGCTGAGGCAGGAGGATCAGAAGTTCAAGGTCATTCTGGTTTACACAATAAGTTCTAGGCAAGCCTGGGCCACAAAAGATTCCAGGAAGTTGTAGCCCAGCATGTAAAGATACTTTCTATATAGGCATCATGACCTGAGTTCGATCCCTGGAACTCACTCAAAGGTGAAAGGAGAGAATCAGCTCTACAACGCTGGCCTCTGACCACCACACGTGTGTCCTGGCACACGTGCCCACACATATCATACGCCCACACAATATTTTCTTTCGATTTTTGAAGAGCCTCCATGATGGCTCAGCAAAGCCTGATTAGTATATTTTCAGTTCCCAGAACCCCTCATGGTGGATGGAGAGAACCAATCATAAGTTGTGCTCCGATCTCCACATGCATGGCATGACACATGTGCATATACACACATGTGTGCTCATGCACACACATACACACACTCACACATACACACAGACAAACAAACTAATGGGCTAGAGAGACTGTTCAGCGGTTACGGGTATATACCGCTCTTACAGAGGACACAATTAGGTTGCCAGCACCCATGTCCAGTGGCTCACAACCTCCTGTAATTTCATCTCCAGGGAACCTGATGCCCTCTTTCTGGACACAGCAGACACCTACGTATATGCACATACCCACACACTAACAAACACGTACAAATATTTTTTAATTTACCTTAGATTTATTAATTTTTATTTTAAGTATATGAGTATTTTGCTTGCATGTATGTCTGTATGGTATGCATCCTAGAACTGAAATTGTGGATGGTTGTGAACTCCCATGTGAGTGCCGGGAGCTGAACCCAGGTGCTCTGCAAAAATAAGTGTGCTTAACTGCTGAGTCATCTCTCCAGCCCCAATTTTAAAAAATATTTTAAATAATAAATGCAAAAAAAATCTTTTTTTTCAGTATTTCCAGGCAGGGTTTCTCTTTGTAGCCCTGGCTTGTCCTGGAACTCACTCTGTAGACCAGGCTGGCCTTAAACTCACAGAGATCCACCTGCCTCTGCCTACTGAGTGCTGGAATTAAAGGCATGTACCACCACGGACCAGCAAAAATCGTTTTTAAAATATCACTTCATGGGGCTGGCAAGATGATTTAGTGGATAAAGGCGCTTGCCACCAAGTATGACAACTTTTACACACATGTATGCATGCTCACACACATACAAATATGTAAATTTTTAATATTTTATTTATTGTGTATACAGTGTTCTGTCTGCACGTACGCCTGCACTCCAAAGGAGGACACCAGATCTCATTATAGATGATTGTGAGCCACCATATGGTTACTGGGAATTGAACTCAGGGCCTCTTGAAGAACAGTCAGTGCTCTTAACCTCTGAGCTATCTCTCCAGTCCCACAAATAAATAAATTTAATGAAATATTTTTGAGACAATGTCTCACTATGTATAACTCTGACTGGCCTGGAACTCATTATGCAGACCAGGCTGGCCTGAAACTCACCAAGATCCACCAATCTCTGCCTTGGGAGTACTTGGATTAAAGGCATGCACCACCATGCCCAGCCAATAAAAATGTTTTTTTAATTGCTCTCAAATTGAAGAATTCTCATTCCATTTCCTAGACTAAGTTTTGCTGAGTGTACTTTCTTGTTGTACCCATAACTATAATTATGAATTGTTTGGTTTTCTATTTTCCCCGAAGTGACTTTAGGAACAAGTTACCTGAAGAGGGAAGACCGGCCCTGTGTGTGGATAGCACGTACCACGGACTAGAGTCTTAGACTGAACCAAAAAGGGGAAAGGAGAGAGACAGGACGTGCCAGCATTCACTCTGCCTCCTGACGCTAGATGCAGTGTGACCATTGATCCCGTCACTCTGCCTCCCGTCACAGCCAAAAGAAACCCCTCTTTTCTTAAGCTGTTTGTTGCAGGTATTTATTTGGTTGTGGTGGTGAGAAAAGTAATACATATGCTTTGCTCTTTCGTACAGGATTGAGCATGCTTCCTCAGCAGCAGCGGTGGTAGCAACAGTAGAGGCAGGTTTGTCCTCCCTCTCCTCTTCTCCATACTGAGGATTCAACCAAAGCTTTCTGCACGTGAGGCAAGTGGACCCTCTACCACTGAGCTGCATTGCTAGCCCTTGGTTTCTGAGACAGAGTCTCACTGTGTAGCCTAGACCAGCCCTGAATTTGATCTCCATCTGCCTCACCATCCCCAGGGCTGGGATGACAGTGGTGTGCCACCATACTTAGCACCCAAATAGCTTTCCTGATGAATTTTAGAATCAGCCATTTATGGTTCAAGCCTGGAATGCCCTTTTCTTACTCATACCAAGGTGCCATACAGGTAAACAGGGGCCTTAAAAAACTTGTGCCGAGCAGTAGTGGCACACACCTTTAATCCCAGCACTCGGGAGGCAGAGCCAGGCGGATCTCTGTGAGTTCGAGCCCTGCCTGGTCTACAGAGTGAGATCTAGGATAGGCACCAAAAGTACACAACGAAACCCTGTCTCGAAAAACAAACAAACAAAAAAAACAAAAAACAAAACAAAACAAAACTTGTGGTAAGGGGTTTCCTTAAATAACAGAATAAAGACAAAATCAGCAGAAAATGACTAATATATTTACTGCATTAAAACTTTCCATTACTGGGGATTGGAGAGATGGTTCAGTTGTTAAAAAAATAAAACAAAACAAACAAAAAAAAAAAACACTTGCCGCTCTTGCAGAGGACCCAGGTTCAGTTCTCAGTGCACACATCAGGCAACATACAGCCTCCTGTAACTTCAGCTCCAGAGGATCCAACTTTCACTTCTGACCTCAGAGGACACCTGCACTCACAGGCATACCCACACAGACAGACACGCATATGAATAAATAAAAATCTTTTTTTTTTTAAATATCTGGGCTAGTGATGCAGCTCAGTGGTGGAGTGCTTGCCTAGCAATATTGAGGCCCTGAGGCCAACATGCAAATGTATGAGTACACACACACACACACACACACACACACACACACACACACCCCTATAATTTTCTATATGGAAGTCTTTGTAGACAAGGTTAAATTTTTTAAATGTTTGAAAGAACAGAAAAATACTAATAAATAGTACTAAATAATTATGGCTCTTTAAATTTTGCTGAAAAACGATATGATCTTTCAACTAGAGTGCAAGGGTATGGGTAAAGGATTGATAAAGCTCTTGCTTCTCTGCATGACAACTGACCTACACCTAGCATTCTTCTATCTGTCATTCTGAACCCTGGTGAACTCCCCACACCATTAGGCAACCTCACCTACATTAAAGCAAATTATATTTCAACTGACAGCTGTAAATACTGGGCCTCCCTGAGTGTAGAAACTCTTTGAGACCTCTGAGGTCAGTGGAAGCTCTTCTCTTGGAATGGTGATTAAAATATATATATATTCCCAGCACTAGGGAGGCAGAGCCAGGCAGATCTCTGTGAGTTCGAGGCCAGCCTGGTCTACAGAGCGAGATCCAGGACAGGCACCAAAACTACACAGAGAAACCCTGTCTCGAAAAACCAATATATATGTGTGTATGTATATATAAATATACATACATACATACATACATACATACATACACACATACAGGCTCCTAAGGGCAGGAAACATGGACAGCCCAGCAGCTGCAGCACCTGTGTGACTGGGTCTGGCTTCTTTGCGCCTGTTACCTAGCTGCAGGGGGTTGGGGATGGGGAGTCCTGAGCAACACCCTGGGTTGCTGCAGTGATTCCCGATGGACCACCAACTGTGCAGTAAAGAATGGGATCTACCTCTAGGTGGAGATGGTCCTTGTCTCTTCACTTAAGAGTTAATCTAATGGGTCAGGGAAGGAACCTGGCTAGAGGACCAGCCCTAGGAAGGGTGGTTCACCTTAGATAATGTGCCTTTTCTTTCCAGAATTCCTGTCCCTTACTGCATTCCCTACTACCAGAGTCACCAAGAAGTTCGGCTGGATTTGCCCAGCTTTCTGAAGCCTGATGCAGAAACACCTACTCATCTTTCCTCCCTCTGTCTTTTCCTTTCGGGTGATACCTAGATCTTGAAGTATGATTTAAACTTTCTAATGCTTTGGGCTTCCTTGCTCTTTCTGAGTCTCCCGTCCTAATGTAGACTGCCTGCCACCATGTGGCTGACCTCCCTGCCACCTTATGGTGACTTCTGTTCCTTCTAGTCTCCTTTCTCTCTCTCTTCCGGGCAGCTGGAGATGGGAAGCTTGCCTGCTTGGGTTTTCCTCTTAAACTCTGACAAGCTGTCCTCAAGCTTCTGGTTGAGTCTATTCTTTAATTCCCCTATTACCAAAACTGAGAACCCCAAGAGGGGACCCTGATTTTCCAAGGATTATATGACAGCTCTGTGGGGACTCCCTGAGACTTCAGATACCACATCTTTCCTGATTTTTAGTTCTTTAGTTGGCAGAGAAGATAAACCTGCTACTGCACTCTGGGCTGGCACCAGGCCCTGCTCCGAGCTGCCATTCCTGACCTACATCTTCCCAAATGATTTGGGGTTTAAAACGTAGTCTCTCTCTATACTCCAGGATAGACTGGAACTCACAATCCTCCTGCCTCAGCTTCAGCTTCTAGCCCGCCTTATATGAGACATCTGAGGTTGGAGAGAAACTTTAGGTCAAACAGATGGTAAAGTTAGCATCTGACTGTTTTTATTATAGTTTTATAAGTCCTGTATATATTTCTCCCTGCTTTGTGACTTTCTAAGGAGAAATAAAAAAACAAAACGGGGCTGGAGAGATGGCTCAGAGGTTAAGAGCACCGACCGCTCTTCCAGAGGTCCTGAGTTCAATTCCTAGCACCCACATGGTGACTCACAACCATCTGTAATGAGATCTGGTGCCCTCTTCTGGCCTGCAGTCAGACATGTTGTATACATAATAAATAAATAAATCTTCAAAAAAAAAAAAACCAAAAACAAAAACAAATCTATTCACCTGAAATGGGGAAGGAGTGGACAAACCAAAGAAACCTGACTTAGAAAATAAGGAAGTTTTTTGGTGTTATTTACAGGAGCATGGGCAACTTGTGAGCAACTGTACCACAGAAAAGTCTCTCTCTCTCTCTCTCTCTCTCCCTCCCTCCCTCCCTCTCCTGTCTTTCTCTGTCTCTCTCTCTCTGTCTCTCTCTCTCTGTCTTTCTCTCTCTCTCTCTCTCTCTCTCTCTCTCTCTCTCTCTCTCTCTCTCTCTCTCTCTCTCACACACACACACACACACACACACACACACCTGGCAATTTTACCTCTTTTCTTTGAGGTAGGATCCCATGTAACCCAGGCTAGCCTTAAACTGGCTATAGAGTCAAGGTGGCTTTGAACTCCTGATCCTCCTGTATCTTCCTCCCAAGTGCTGTGATTGTAGGTGTGTGCTATCATGCCTGCCTGTATAAAGATACAGCGGTGATGGGTCTGAGAGGAGTGTCCTGTGACTCTCTCCCTCCCTAAGGCAGAATGCTTGCCCCATTACCAGCCCTTCGTGTTTCATTGCCATGACGGTGGCCAAGGTCTCCGAGGGTCACTGCAGTCTCCCGGCTTCATGGTGGTGCCGCTCATGTCAAGACTGCAGGAAACAACTATAGCACATTCCTCAGAGAAAGAATTTATAAGAAAACTTGGTCCAATAACCGTGAATGCTAATAATGTATCTGTAGGTCTGGCTTGAATCAGTGTATCGCTGGAGTGTTCTGTACATGTCCTCTTATTTTAAAACCCATTAGATTGACAATATAAACCACGTGCAGTTTATAATAAGTAAACAGTAGAGAGATCTATGAAGGACAATGGTCACTCTTCTATGACCAGTGACACACTTTCTAGGCAACCAATGACAAAAATGTGGTATACATCTTTCCACTTCATTCTCCATGTCTGCACAAACACATAAAGACATGTATGTCACCTGTCATGGTGGCACACACCTGTTTTTTCTACACTCAAGAGGCGGGGGCAGGAGGAGTTGGAAATTGGGGCCAGCCTGGGCTATACAGTCCTGTTTCAAATCCAGACATGTATAAATGTATACATCATGTAAAACTGTTTTATGTTCCTATTGCAAACATTAGTCTGTAATTTTCTTCCTTGTGCTTTGCTCAACACATTTTTATATTACTGCAAATACTTACATATGTCTTACTCATTATTTTTAATAAACCATAAAGATCTGTAAGCATTACTCTTTTCTTTATGGCTAAGTATTCAGACTGTGTCCTGTATCCTCCTCACCCCACTCCCTTGGGAGAGGACCTATAGCTAACCTTAGCCCTCTTTTTACTTCTTCTTTTGAGACACAGTCTCACAAGGTGCCCAGATTGGCTCTGAACTCACTCTGCAGCCCAGGCAGGCCTTGAACTTTCTTTTCATTTTAAGATTTATTTTATTTTTAAAACTTTAATTGTTTCTTTTATTTTTTCAGACTATAATATAATTATATCATTTCCCCTTCTCTTTCTTCCCTCTACGACCTCCCATATACTGCTCCTTGCTTTCTTTCAAATTCATGGCCTCTTTTTTTAAAATTGCTGTTACATACATTATAAACATATATATTTCCAATACATAAATAAGTCTTACCAACACAACTGTGTAAACACAGCTGAACATGGATGAACAGCAATAGACATGTTATTGTGGACAGGAAAAGCCCAAGAAGCCTCGGCCTTACACAGAGAACTACAGGCAAATAAGGAATGTTGAAATCAGATAGTCTTCCCCAGGGAAGAGCACACCAACTGGTTATCCAATACCACACGGTCAGCCCTGAAAACATACCTACAGGTAGCATGACACAGGCCTGGAACTTGTAATCATCCTCCCAAGCCTCCCAAAGTAGCTGGGATTACAGGTGTGCAGCACCAGGCCCAGCCCCTTTTCTTTTGAACTCACTACAAATGCTGGGGTCGGTATTGATCTGCATGTACAAATAAACCCATAGCAATGCGTTTATTTGTGGGACAAAACTGTCCACATTTCTGGATCAAAGGCAATGGGATAATACACTGCTTATTCTAATCCTTGCTTCCCCAAACACTTGTGTGTGCTCCCACACCGTCGTCCTCAAACCCTTAACATCACCAGTCGTGGGTTGACCTTTACGTGTTTTATTTTTTTAAGACAAGGTCTCACCGTACAGTTCTGGCAGGCTTGGAACTTGTTATGTAAACCAGGCTGGCCTGGGACTCACACAGACCTGCCTGCCTGTGTCTCCCCAGTGCTGGGATGAGGTGTGCATCACCACACCTGGCTTTCGGGCTTTTTATTTGCTGTCAGCCTGAGAAAGAAAAACAGATCTAAGTCATGTCCCTGTTTTCAGTGATCTCATTTTCTCTTGTCACTCTTAGCAGGAAGGTCAAATCTTTGACTTGGCCCAAAGCCGCTTGTGGTCCCAGAGTCTACATGCCCTGCAGGAGGCTTATCTGCTCCTAGGAAGGCTTTCTCAATTCATGAAAAAATGATGCCATGTTGAGCGGCTTGCCAGTGTGAGCCTATGGGGAACTACGCCTTTTTAAATGTGACTAACTTATGCCTAAAAGGAATAATTATGTCTATTTTATTTGCCTTGATGCAAGTGTTTTTTCCAGTCGCTTCAGGCTGGTTGTTTAAACTCTAAACTTAAGAGTAAACATGGAAACACAGGACTCCTTAAAAAGGTAAAAAACATGTCAGTACGACACCCCAGCTCCCAGGGAAGAAGCAGAGGTCTGGTTGTAAATTTAGGGGTTTTTTTGAGTCTCTTGTTTTTAAGTTGGACTTTTTAAGTAGAAGATGCCTTTAATGTGTTGGTTTGCAGAACAGGAAATCTGATTTTTCCATGTGATAACACTCTTTGACATTAACCAGTGTAGTTGGATTTTTAATGACACTTTCATCTTCAAAGACCTTTACCAACACAGATGGATTAATTATTCATTTGTGTGTGGCAGGGGGGCAGCGTTAAGAAGACAAGCCTTCAAAGCCATATCCTTTCTCCTTGGAATTGGGGCTCTCTACTTTTCAAATGTTGTTTTTCAGTCCTCAAGGGAGGAAATACAGGTAAATACAATGGGAAAATACTTTGTGCTATGGGACGCTATCCTTATATCCTGAATGGGATTAGAAGAGGTTAGGAGGCAGTACTTAAGCTGTGTTTACAGTAAGCACCCGGAGAAATAACTGGCTAACAGTGTTTGTTACTGTTCAGGCTTTTGATGTGTTTTCAGAGAGCAACAAAAACATAAAGGGCCCCGCGTTAAGCATAGGTTAGAACACAATATCACGGATCCTTTATATTGGATACTAAAATATATAGATTTTGTTCTTGTTACGTTCAAAAAGTGTCTAATTTGATTTTTAAAAGATTTGATTTCGCAGAAGAAAACCTCGGGCTTCCCCGGAGGTCTCCCTTGACTCGACACATCTTCTAACCGCAAGAGAGCAGTCTTCGCTTTGATGAGCGCTTCTTCTCCACCTCCCCAGAAATGAAAGAGCAGGCGTATGTTTGCAAACACCCTGAAAGCTCTATCAGACCTGAACGCGGAAACCACAAAGGGCAGTCAAGTTTGGATTTTCAAGGAGAAAGCCGGAGTAAACTTTCTCTCTGCAGGCCAGCCGATCTGCAAGTGCCTGGGAGGGGCTCTGCTCAATTCCTGGCTCCCCGAGAGCCACACTTGCTAACCCAAGAGTGAATTACAGCAACTGGGCAGCTTTGAAAGATTAATCTGTTTGGGGTGCGATCGTCTCTTCAGACTGGGGACCCTTTGTTAACTTTTGAACTAAGATCGGAGGGGACACATGGGTACAAGCGTGGATGAGGCGCTATCTTTGCCCTTTCTGCTCTGAAGTTTTAACGAGACCCGAGGAGAGCAACGAGCTTCGGAAAGCATGCGAAGTTCCCTCCACGTGTGTTCAGGTACCTAGCTTCTGAACCGAGAAACTTCTCCAAAGACAGACCGGGAAGTCTGGATGGACCAGCGTCTCGGCCACAAAAGCTTCAAGTCTCGTCTTCCTGCTGAGAGGGTCATCTCTTGGGTGATCTGCGCACTTGTCGGCGGAGGATGGAGAAACGCAAACCGGCGGGACTGCTGGCTCTGCCGTCCCCGCTACGGACGCCGCCGCCGCCGCCGCCGCTGGGCGCGCTGGCCCGGAGGGAGCCGGGCCGGACCTCCGCGCGCCAGGACGCCGAGGACAGCGCGCGGGGACGGCCGTGCCCGCCCTTGTCGCTGGGGGGCGTCGGCGAGCCCGCCTTTCTGCGCCAGCGCAACGAGCGCGAGCGGCAGCGCGTGCGCTGCGTGAACGACGGCTACGTGCGCCTCCGCCAGCACCTGCCGCGCGAGCTGGCGGGCCAGCGGCTCAGCAAGGTGGAGACGCTGCGCGCCGCCATCAGCTACATCAGGCACCTGCAGGAGCTGCTGGAGCGCCACAGGCGGGACTGCAACAGCGACGGCGAGTCCAAAGCGTCCTCGGGGGCCTCGCCCTGCAGCGAGCCGGAGGAGCGCGCCTAGCAGCGCCTGGCAGCGCCCTCGCCCGCCAGGGTTTCAGGGTAACCCGTTTCTTCTCTGGGCCCGCATCTTAAGAATTAAGTGCTTCTGGAGTGGGGGAAAGGGTATTTTAATGTTTGGAGGTGTTTTGTTTTTTTCACTCCTCCACCTTCTTTGGTTCCGAACCGCAACTTACAAATGCTTGAGGAAACTTTTTTTTTGTACTTGTGAAGCACAGAAGGACCATCCCAGGGCTGTAACAATTAAACCTTAGCCAGAGAAGAAGCACACACACACACACACACACACTCAGGGCAGTCCTTCATGTGAGAAGAACATTCTCGCGCGTTCCTTCCCTTTGGGAAATTTACTGGGAATGTCTTCAACACCGCACTGTGGGTGAAGGTAGCTGAGCTGACACTGTAACATGTAAGTGGGGCATCTGCTAGACCTGAGCATAGGCTTGCCGACTGTGAACGGCCACGCTAAAAAGGACATTCTTGCTTGGTACATACTGCTTTGTCGGAAGAAGTCATTTGGAAACTTTAGCAGGTAATAAAGTGTCGCGATGTGAATGATCTTTTTGGAGATCTGGACGGCCATCTCCCGGGGACCCCCTCCCCCCAGTTTCTGCCCACTGTTTCTCTTGCTCTTTTCTTTGCATGCTCCCCTGTACAGTTTTCACCCTGTCTAACTTTGGGCTGGAAAAGTGACACTGACTTGAAAAATAAAAAGCAAATATGCTTTGTTTCGATGTTTGCGTTGAATGGGGAGGGATGTGGACGATGGATATGAATTGAACTTGCTACCTGTCCAAGCCATTTGTCTTTGAAGGTTTTCAGATGTATTGAATATTTCACTATGGTCATTCCCTCTGCCTCACTAAAACAGTTATGAATTATAGAAATTGCTAGATGTTTGTTGACATCTGAAGGTAAACTGTTTTTTAAAGCCCCTGCCCCCTATCCACCCCTCTGTGGTGCTGGGATTAGTAGGGCTTCATGCCTGCTATGGCAAGTGCCCTTCTACTGGTCTACACCCATCCCTATGTTCCTTCTAATACCATACTGTGAATTGCTCTTTCTTTGGAGGTAGCTTGGGCTAAGAGGGGTGGAGTTGAGAACTAGCCTTGATGAGCACTGCCCAGGTACCATCTCATGCAGTCCTTTACTGCCTGACCCATCTAAAGAAACAAACAAAACACAAAACAAAAAACTGTCTAAAAACAACCAAACCCTTTTTACTTTAGCAAGTGGGGGACTGGAGATGGCTCAGTGGTTAAGAGTGCATTGCTGCTCTTGCAGAGGACCTGGGTTTGTTTCCCAGCACTCCATGGTAGCTCACAACCATCAAGAACTCCAGTTCCAGAAGACTGGATAACTTTGACCACATGGTGGTGGCTGTTGATTATTATTATTTTTTTTTAAGATTTTCTGTACTTACTTCCTGCTTCACTGTCTTTTGTAAACCTGCTCTACAAACTACTCATGCATGATTTTACTCCTTAAAAGGGCCCTAAGAAATAGACTCAGGGCTGCTCTCTCTAACCTGACTTAGGAGGCAGCCACTGGCCTCTCTGGTGCATCTCAATAAAAGTCAAGCTTGCTTCGAATTTGGCTCCAAATTGTGGTAGTGGTCTTCCTCTCACCGGAAGGGATTAACGGAAGCCTTGTGTGGAGTCAGGGATTGAACTGGGCAGTCAGGCTTGGATGGCCAGTTTACCCACCAAGCCCTATCACTGACTGCAGGAATGAGAACTTTCAGAAGATTTGCTCTCTGCTTTTCCTGTGGTGGAGCACTCCATTAAGCCATAGAACATTGCACCCTCTTCTAAAAGAACAAAACAAGCCCGAATGCTATTTATGGAGTGGAGAGTTACGTTATGGGAAAACAGGGATGACCAAAGAAGAGAGGCTTCCCTGTCCTTGAGGTCTTCCCTGGTTGGTTGCCTAGAATCTCCAGATGTTCCTCAGGTTCCTACCCTGATAGCTGCTGGGACACGCACTTCTGAGGGCTGAGAAGAAGGAGGCCTGAACTTGAATTCTTGGCTTCTGGAGTTGAGAAGTGGCAGTTCTCTGTTTAAGCCACCTCTGACAAAGCCTTACCTTGAATTTGAAAGCCAGGTCCCATCTGGCCAGGGAAAATGTGTAGGAATGTCAGCACTGCCCATCGTAACTAAGTACACACAGGCTCTAAGCTTTCTGACCAGTCTCCATCAGACAGAGACCTGAAGTTGTTTTCAGAACTGAATAGTAGTCCCACATCGTCCTGGAAATGTGGTCCCCGGAATCCTCCACTGCAGTGATGGCTGGACCCCACTAGGTAGCCCCTTGGGACCCTTCCCTGTTGCTCATCACACATCTTTTATCCCATGGTAGACAGACAGGCTGCCTGCTGGGGTAGAGCAGAGGGCCTGAAGGTGCTTTATAGTTCCTTTACAGGTCCATGACAACTAAAACCGCCTCCAGCCCTTTGATTATCAGCACTGAGTTGCATATGTGTTTTCCTTGTAGGCTCTCTGGGTGGTGAGGCTGGTGTTTAATCTCAGGGCTATTTAGCTGTGTCCTTTGCTTGAAGACCTGTCAGCCACCCTTTCATGTTGGGTTACTCACTGTCATTAACTGCAGCCAGAAGAAAACCACAGGTGCTGCAGAAAGGGGTCCGTCCAGACAACACAACTCTCCAGACTGGTTTTTTGCCTCCAGAGCAGGGCCTAGAGAAGGCCACTCCAGAAGGTGGTTTTCATTTCCCTGACTCTGGAAAATAATCTAAGAATTCTATGTGTGAGCTATAGGCAGGGCCTTGTGAGATGACCTGATCTGAGGCCAAGAGTTCTTAACAAATGAGGATTGAACAGTGCAGGGCATATACTTGTCCTTAAGTGTACCTTTTTTTGTAAAACACCACTGAAGGCAGACCATTCCACATGCTAGCAGTTTCTGAGGTTATATTGTAGAGCAGGCTAGCCCTTCTGTATACTAGTTTCTGCTGATTTTCACAACTGTGTGAAAGGATGGATATATCACTTCTGTTCTTGAGATGAGGAACCTGAGGCCTAGAGAGACCATGTGACTGTAGAGTTACTTTGCTCACTGCTTCAAGAAAATATCCAACAGGAAACATAAGGAGATGGGGTGAATCTGGCTCATGGTTGGAGGGGCCTAGGCACAGAAGCCTGTGGCTTCAAGGCGCTGGGAGTTTGGCTGCACCTGATTGCTTAAGTTTCTGTGAATCATAAAGCAGAAACAGGAGCTGGGTGGTGGTGGTGCACTCCTTCAATCCCAGCACTTGGGAGGCAGAGGCAGGCAGATCTCTGTGAGTTCAAGGCCAGCCTGGTCTACAGAGCAAGGACAGCCAGGGCCACACAGAGAAACTCTTTCTCAAAAAACAACGACAACAACAAATAAATAAAGCAGAAACAGGACAGGAAGTGGTACCAGGCTATAAATCTCAAGGCTTGATCCCCAGAGATCTGCTTCCTCCATTGATCCCCTCACTTCCCAAAAGTGGCATAACCTCCCAAAGTAGCACCAGCTAGGGACTGAGTGTTCAAGTACATGGCCCTTTAGGGGACATTTTACATCCAAACCATAGCATTATGCTTAGGCTCATGGCCATCTTATTATGTAAAATACACTAAATTCAATTTCAAAGGTTTTCATAGTCGAACAGTTTCACTACTGTTAAAAAGTCGTTAAGTCTCTTCTGGGTCTCAAGGCACTCTTAACTAGGAGCCCCTATAAAATAATTTTAACTACTTCTAACATGCAAAGAGTAAACATTCCTTTTCTAAAAGAGAATGGGTACATAATAGGGACAAACCAGACCAAAGCAAGACTGAAAGCCAGCAGAGCAAACTCTTCAGCTGGGTAGCATCATGTGTGGCATCTGGGTAGCATCATGACATCATCTGAGCTCTAACAAGCTTGGTAGTTGTGGTAGTTTGAATGTAATTGGCCCCCATAATCTCATTAGGGAGTGGCACTATTGAGGTATGGCATTGTTGAAGGAAGTGTGTCAAACTGTGGGGGTGGGCTTTGAGGTTTCCTACGCTCAGGATGCCACCCGGTGACACAGTTGACTTCCTGTTGTCTTCTGATCAAGATGTAACCAGCATCATGCCTGCCTGCACACTGCCATGCTCCTCACCATGATAATGGACTGAACTTCTGAAACTAAGTGAGCCACCCCAGTTAAATGTTTTCTTTATCAGAGTTGCTGTGGTCATGGTGTCTCTTCGCAGCAGTCATAACTTAAACTAAGGTAGTAGTACTGCCTTCCAGCTCTGTTGCCTGCAACACATTTCGTCTCTCTTAGACCAGCTCCACTCAAAGCCTGCAACTTTAATTGGTGAATGTTTCACATTTCCAGCATTTCCGGTATCTTGGAGTCTCCACTGCAATTTAGGCTTCACCTTCAAACTTAACTATATCCCACTCAGGAAACCCATGTAGGTAATATGACCCTACTGTGATGCATGGCCTCGGTGGCTTTCTAGAAACTTGGTGTAACCTTTTGTCTTGTTTTATCTATGTATTTATTTATTTATTATTCATTCATTCATTCTTCATTATTCATTTTTGGTTTTTTGATACAGGATTTTTTTTCTCTGTGTAGCTCTGCTGTCCTGGAACTCAGAGATCCGCCTGCCTCTGCCTCCCAAGTGCTGGGACTAAAGGCGTGTGCCGCCACTGCCCAGCTTGCATTTTTTTTTTTTTTATGTCTGCAAAACCAGCACCATGGAACTAAAGAGATGACTCAGAGGTTGAGCATTTGGTACTCTTGCAAGAGGACCCAAGTTCAATTCCCAGCACCTACATAGCAGCTAACAACAGTCCTAGGGGATCCAATACCCTCTTCTGATCCCTTCGAGCATCAGGTATGTATATGATGTGCATATACACATGCAGGCAAAACACTCATACACATAATATAATAAATCTAAATTAATTTTAAAAAACACCCTATATATAACACCAAGTTCTGCTTCCAACTTGAGATGTAGACTGGCCATTTTGGACCACAGCTGCTGTGGCTCTGTACCTTACAGGATAACTCTGGAAAAAATACTTCCCAGTATAGCCCTGCTTGAGCAGAATGCCTTAGATCTTTGTGCGTTCTTTCTCTTTTCAAATGAAAGTCATCCAAATGAGTTTGCATCTTGGAGCTCTGGATAAGTGTAGTATTGCCTTCAAGGCATCTTTTCTACTGTGTTGGTGCAAAGTCCAAGGTTTCTCCTTAATGACAGTGTCTTAGCTGGTTTTTATTGCTGTGAATAGATGCTATGACCATGACAACACTTAAAAAGGAAAGCATTTAATTGGGGCTGGCTTACAGGTTTAGAGCTCTAGTCTGTTATTGTCACAGTGGGAAGCATGGCAGCATGCAGGCAGACATGGTGCTGTAGCTGTAGCTGAGAGTTCTATATTGGGGTCTAGAGGCAGAGATAAATGTACTAACCAATCATGGTTGATAGGCTTCCACTGTTTAAGTGGTTGCTCAGATGCAATAAAGCAGATGCTATTCCCTGAAACTGTCTCTGGAGTGGTTCATCTTGGCACCCTTTACCAACCTGTGGGCACTGCAGTCTTGTAAGGAGACAAGAGAGACTGGCAATGACTGCAATAGCATGGGCAAACATGAAATCCTGCAGCTCTGTGTTTGGCATTTAGGTGTGTGGTAGAATCATCTGGGGTTCCAAAGGGCCCTGACCCTCTAGCTCCGCTGCCTAAAACATGTATAGCTTCTCATGCTAGCTCCACTTAATATATGCAGCTTTCCTTAGTGGATGTCCCATATCTGGCATCCCTAACATACTGAAGTTCCCATTCTCCACTGCAGCTTAGGCTTCATCTTTACCACTTCATGAAGCAGGCTCTCAGGGCCTCTGACAATGCCACATTCTGCCTGACTTTAGCTGCTCTCTGAAACTGTGAGGAAAGGGCCCATGATCCCCTCAGTCTTGCATTTTTCCTGCCTGAAAAAACTTGTACTACATGGATGACACTGCCAAATTCTGCTTCCAGCTTGAGGTGAAGCCTGGCCCCTTTGGATCACAGCTGTACTAGTTTCTGTGTTCTGGCCCTGGCAAAACACTTCTCTACAATAGCTGCTTTTAAGGAACAAGGAGCCCCTCCAACTGCATTCTTAATTTGGTTGTCTCCTTTTAAATGAGTTTGCACTTGTGTGTGTGAGGTGGAGCCTTTGACAGGTGGGGTCTTGCCCTTGGAGCGTGGTTCCTATTGTCCTCCTACACAGTGGGATATTTCTCTTAGTGAGGACAGCTCTTTATCCAGTATGCACCTTGGCTGCATCTTTTAGCTTGTTTGAGCTCTTTTCTTGTTCCTCAATGAACAGCAGTTTGTTAGTTTCTTCTTTTTCTGACCAGTTTTTTTCTTTGTTATTGTAGACCAGTAAAGTGTAATTAGCCATGCCACAGACTCAATGCTCTTGAAATTTCCTCTGTCAGAGAAATTAGTCCATTGCTTTTCAATTCAGGTTCATACAAGTTCTCAGGAAATGGAGATGATACCACCAAATTCTTAGGCAAATGAGTATTCTACTATTATGACTATCACAGCCAAAATGGCTTCTAGCCTCGTTCCTGATAGTCTTTTTTCCCTCTGAAACATCAGAAACTAAGCCTCCACTTGGTCTTCTGAACTCCCATCGAAGGCTCATTAAACTCTGCTTATAGCATTTGAGGAATTTTCTAGTCCAAAGTTCCAAACTGTTCCACATTCCTCCCATGAACGAGTGCCAAAGGCCTATAAACCACATGGTGAGGCTAATCACGGCAGTGACCCCACTAATTTTCTGTCTTAGTTGCTTTTTCCTGTTGCTGATAAAATATCTGGACTTTTGTCCAGAGAGAGAGGGTTTATTTTGCTCACTGTTTGAGTCCATTGTGGAGGAGTAGATGTGGCAGCAGGCCCATGAGGATGCTGATTCCATTGTATCAGCAATAAATGCTCAAATTGCATTTCCTTTTCATTCAGCCCAAGACCCCACCCTGTAGAATGATGCCACTCACTTCAGTTAACCTAATGTAGGTAATCTCTCACACAGGTCCTAAGAGGCCAACCTAGTCTAGATAATCCCTCAGAAGCACACTTGGAAGCTTGTCTCCTAGTGACCCTACATCTTGTTGACACTTGCAAAACCCATCATTTAAGTGAAAATTGTGTATATTTTTTCTGAGAGATGGCACTTTTTTCCTGGGAGAGAAACTAGCCTAACTATGGTAGATTATTACAGGA